CCTGATTACATCCTGTAACTATGTTGAGTTTGGAAGAAATATTCCTATCAGGAACATGACAATCTAGGTAGCCTGCAATCTCACACATGACCATGGTATCATCTGGGCCTAGACTGCTTCTTTGGTCCATGTCTGTTTCAATAGCACAGCAGTAGCCAGCATGTATGTTGATATCCATGCCTCTGGATGCCTTTTTAGGCTAGCTGGTTGCCTTGGATTTGGATAGTCACCTGATACCATGCTGATGTCTAAGGACTTTGCTGAATTCTGAGGTTATACTGATCCATATGGTCTGTGCTCCCATGATAGACATGGTAACAAGAGGGTACAACCTGCTGTTGAAAACATGTCTGGGTTCATGTTTGTCCAGCAGCTTGGGTCTGTGATGATGTCCTCTGCTCATGTTACCACTGATGGTGGGTAATAACAATCATGTGTGTTGAAATCCAGTGCCTACTCTGCTACTCACTAACCTTGGGATATCTGCCCTTCCACTTTCTGGACACTGAAGCAGGAAAGCTAGCCCTTCTCCATCATGGCAGAGCATCCCAACCCCCTTGCACTTAGTAGAAATTGTCCACCCCTCACCATAGGCATGGGAAAGCTGGCCTTGATAGCATGGACCTAATTGTAGTGGTCTTCCCCTCACCTGATGTGGCCATCCAGTAGCCCAGACTAACCAGTTGGGTTACCACACAGACTCATATCCTGAGTCTTGGGCTGGCCCAGCCTAAAATCTACATTATCTGTGACCTGCTAGAGTATGTGAAGGGTTTATTACTCTTGAAAGATAACTGCAGGATCTCTGTGACTCAGGGCAATAGCAGAATATCCAAGATGCGATATTCAACAAGATGAGAGTTCAACAATGGTGTAAAAGAGACATTAAAGCATACCAATGACTCACTGCAATGAATGTTTTGGGTGTGGAGTTGATTGAATAAAAGGATTTACTTTGTGACAGACCACAGCTCCCAATGCCAGTGTTTTATTTGGCTGAGTGTTTGTTTCTCAGCTGCCCATCTCCCAAAATAATCCCACAGAAACTATATTATTTGAATCACTGCTTGGCCAATACCTTAAATGTATTACTAGCTTGTTGCTACTTCTTAAACAACCCATTTCCATTATATTATATTTTACCAGGAGGCTTGGGACCTACCGGCAGCTCATGTTTTTCCTGTCTGGTGTCTCCTGACTCTGCCTTCTTTCTCCCAGAATTCAGTTTAGATTTCCCTGACTAGGTATATTCTACACTATCACAGGCCAATGCAGATTCTTTATTCATTAACCAATAAATAAAACATATATACAGAAGGACTTCCTCTGCCACTACTGGAATGACTGAGGTGTTGGAAAGACTGAAGACCAAGGTGGATATTTATTTGTTTGCTTTCTATTAATTTATTTTTGAGGGCAGATATGGAGAGACAAGAGGATAAGTGGGACTGGAAAAATAAGTGAAATTCTCAAATAATCAATAAAAAATACATTTTTATAAAATTAAAAAATCTCAAATGGATATGCTAGAGATAGCAATAACTCTATAGATGGCTTGGAATGTATTGACACCATAACAGTAGTAAGCTTTCTGACCAATAACAAAGGCTATGCTTTAAATACTTATGTTTCATTGATTTCTTTAAGCTGAATTTTGTGTTTTTCTTCTACAAACTTTTCAGCTCCTTGGTTATATCTTTAGTATTTACTTTTGTGGTGTGTGGCATCTAGTTATTGGAACTTATTGCAGTGGATATGGCTACACAAGTGTATGCAGGCATATAGGTGTGCAAGGGCATGTGCATCTGTACTTGTATGAATGCGAGAACAAAATATCAATAAAGTTATGGCTAATATATGAGAAAAATGTTCTTGTGTATTTATACATCAACTCCTCCTAACAATGTTACGCAATTTTCATTGTAAAAGTCATTCAGATCTTCGATTATGAATATAACAGTAATTCTTCAGTATTTTATTCTTTGGGATTTTTTGGTACATGGAATTACTAAGTGCCATGTGAAACTTTTATTGTAGGCAAGTGGAAATGGAAATTAATGTGCTGGGAATACAACTCAGTGGTAAAGTACTCACTCGCTAATATGAAGCCATGAGTTTGAGCCCAGTCTGTAATCATAATAGTTTTTCTAACAACAATTTAAAGAATTTAATTTGAGAGGCACCTTTACATAGATAACAAAATATGTTAAAATAACATTCTATAAATTGAATTTATAAATTCTCCCTCTACATTATTAATATAGAATAATTTTATTGCTCTTCACAAATCTATACAACTAGGCAGAACCTTGCCTTCCCTCTTTTAATAAATGTAAGTGAAAACTCCTATTCTGGTGTGGTGAACAGGCTGTCTCTGCCCTGGACAAGTCTAGATTCTCCTACAATTTCACATCACATCTGTAAGTTCCCTTCTATGAGATTCATTTTATTCTATTACCATTGAACAACATCATTTGGGACTTTATTCTTCATGTTTGCTCTAGTTTCCTACCTGAGCAGATAAATAACACTCTTATCAATGCTTTTTAAGAACATTTCGTGGTACAAATCAGGATATATACATGAGTATATAAATTTTATATATGGCTATATAAAGCAAGTCCTATAGCAAATTTTTATGAAATGGGCAGTTTATGTAAATAATCAATGGCTAATATGCTCCTTAGTTTTCCTCCTTGGGGTATTTATTCATTTATTTATTTATTTATTTGTGGTAATCAGGTTTGAACCCAATGATTAACACATATTAAGCAAGCACCCAGGATTGACATATTTCCTCAGTATTTCAATTACCCATGTATTCCTGGACCTACTGAGTGCTTGCTCCATCAAATATGGATGCACATACATTTGAATCATTACTCTATTTTATGAACTTGTATTCTGACTATGCTGAAATATCTTCCTGGTTTCCTTAAAGCTTTAGGACCAAAGTGAGGCCTCTTTGTCTCCATATTGCCCATATGCATACAAAGAAAAAGTAGAAAACACAGTCTTGGGTTAGAATGCTGTTTGTTTTGTCTTGAATTGTCCTGGGACACCTCATTGCAACAAATGCTGGCAAATAGCTTTTTTGTAACAGTGTAATCCATCATCTATACTTGATATCATAGGCATTTGGACTATGGATATGTTTTACTACTGTTCCTAATACTATATTGATATGCACAGTGGAATTATTTCCCTTAGACAGTGAGATATTTGTTTTAAAAAATTCATAGGATACCACTCTCCTCCCACATGCTATGTAGGGCAGCCTCTATCTATAATTGAAAGTCTTTCCACAGAAACTGCCTTTTAAAATATTTTTGTTGAATAATTTAAAATGACTCCTGTCTATAAACACTTTCCTAGTCATGTTCATTCACAGAAGAGAAAAAGCCTGTTATTTAAATAATTATATTTTATTAATTCCTTTGTTCTTGATAAAGTTACCATGCCAAACACAGTTCAGTTTGGTGATAGTTTGTGTATTTTGCAGATAAATTCCATGTGGTAATTCCATATGCAAGTCAACTACAATGGAATGATTTCTTTGTCTACTAATCTTTCTTTGGGTTTAATTTTTAAATGTCAATTAGCATAAGTAATTTAACTTATCCAGAGAGAAGTTTCAGTTTCCACAATATTTCTAGGAAGTTCCAGAAGAGATAAAAGAAAGCATAGAAAGAGGATTCCATTGCCTATCCTGAACTGTCTGAAGACTTCTTTCTAACTAGTGTCTCAATGACCAGTTGTTCTTTATTCCTTGACTTAACTGTCCTCACTCTACTTGGACTCAACAAATGTAGCCTGTCTTCAGTTCCCAGTAAAACATTCTTTATTATTCAAAACAATATTAATATACAGTCAATGTGGGTGTTAAAATAATGGGAGATTAATAAAATAAGGGAAATATTAATAATGATCTACAGAAGAAAGTTAAGATTAAGATGATAATATGATTTTCAGAATCCCTCAGTGAGGCTTTCCATAAAAAGGCATGTATGTACTCACTGTATGTTCTTCTTTTTTCCTCATTTAATGACTTGTTGGCACACTTTCTATCCTAGATCTTCTTTTCTTGAGTTACTAGGCACTTAAAACATTTAATTTATTCTCCTTTTATTTTTATAGATGAATAAAACTCCCACTGCAAAACAATGAGGCAAATAAAAAATCCAAAGAAACAGAAAAAAACAAATAAAAAATAACAATGCAAAATAAAGTTACCACTACAACATCTATAGACAAATGTTTCTCACACTGACAAACCATAGTAAAGATTCAAATCTGAAATATAATCTTATGTTCATGTTTAATAAATAATGACAACACACATATGAAAAAGGTATATGGAGTAATAACATGCTTGAAACCTGTGATCACTGGATATTTCTACTGTTTTCATTAAGCTATTGACTACTAATAAATCATATCTATCACATTGGAAGTTGAAAGAGTTATGTTGCTTTCCAATTGAAGATGTACAGAAAACAAAAGAATCAGATGTTTGAACTGCACAGTGAAAATGAAAAAAAAACCTACACATAATGGAAATTTCCATCCTATTGTAACTTCATTTGATGTTTTGAAATTCTGTTTTAATGTAGAAAGGAAAAAAATTGTTTGTAATTAATGAGGGCAATATGTAAGTCATTTCAATTGCAATACTTTTAAACAATAAACAATAAAAATAGTGAAAATGACAATAATGAAGAAGAAAAAATCTGGAAATATTAAAATTAAGTATAGAGGAATCATATTTCATTTTATGATAGAAAGTGGAACATATAAAGAATCATAATTACACCAAGGATTTTTGCCTGTTCAAAAACTAAAACAACAACAACAAAACCAAATAAATAAAAATATATAAATAAAAAGTAAAATATTTTCTACGAAAAAATAGAAGAGCTAAAGTCTTATGCTGAAGTAATGCCCATAATTGAAATTATGTCTCTGCTGAAAACAAGAGGGATAAAGACAACCCTGGTTAATCAAAATCTCCTGCTTATTAAGGTTTTTTTAAAGGCAACTTTAATATCTTTGTTCCTCAAGCTGTAGATTAATGGATTCATCATGGGAACCACATTGGTATAAAAAACAGAATAGATTTTTCCTTCATTCATAAACACCACTGAGGAGGGTTTGAAATATGCAAGTGCACCTGAAACAGAGAACAGAGAAACAACAAGAATGTGGGAGCTGCAGGTGCTGATGGCTTTGGATCTGCCCTCAGAGGAAGGGATGTGGATGATGCTGGAAAGGATGAAACCATAGGAGATAAAGATAGTTGAAGAATAAACAATGATATTGATGGTGCCAAAAACAAAAATGACAAGTTCATTGACATATGGGCTCGTGCAGGATAGCTGGAGCAAAGGAGGAATATCACAGAAGTAGTGGTTGATGGTGTTGGTATCACAGAAACTCAGTCTCAGCATGGATGCAGTGTGAGCTACAGCATTAGAAAATGCAATAGAGTAGGAAACAAGCATAAGGTTCAAACATAATTTAGGAGACATGACAACATTATACGTCAGTGGATTACAGATGGCCATGTAGCGATCATAGGCCATTGAAGTCAGCACATAACACTCAGAAATAATAAAGAAGCAAAAGAAATAGACTTGGGTCATACATTCCATGTAAGAAATGATATTCTCCCATAATATAAGGTTCATCAGCATTTGGGGAGTGAACACAGAACAGTAGCAGATGTCTATAAAGGACAAGTTAAAGAGAAAAAAATACATAGGAGTGTGGAGCTGAGAGTTCAGCACAGTCAGAATTATCAAACACAAATTTCCAAATGTAGTGACCAGATACATTGCTAGGAACAGAAAGAACAAGGGCATTTGGAGTTCAGGCTGATCTGTTAATCCTAACAGAATGAATTCAGTCACCGCAGACACATTGGCTGAGTCCATGTTTCTGTAAGGGAATCTGTGGATACAGAAAGTAGACCTGTATTAGAGGATGATCCACATTAGTCATGGGTCCATCCCATCCACTATGTATATGCTGGAAATGCTTTTCCGTCCTGAACTATACATAGAGAATCCACTGGTATAGTCACAAACAAATTATCCTAAGTCAGAAGAAATTGATGGTGAATTATAGTATGATTTCTGAAAAAGTCACAAGATAAAGGAGAATACAATATGAAGATTTTAACCTCAATATTTCATATCTTCTTTCCCCAGAGCCCTTTCTACGAAGTTAAAATTGGAAGCAGATGACTGGACAGTGCAGTGCTGGCTGCTGTGGTATGAATGAAAAACATATAAATAATCTAAAAATAAAAGCATGAGAGAATCATGGAGAGAATCTGAAAGGCTTGAGTTCTGACCATTTAGGAGAGCCTCACCAGAGATGCTGCAAGTCCCGGTGTCCAATGCCTCCTAACACTCCCTAATCCCTCTGAATACTTTCTACTGCTGGTTTCACTTCAGTCTCATTTTGCACAGGAAAAGAGACACTTCCTGAAATTCATCATATATTAAGAGACATAAAGGGGTAGATTTGGATACAAGAAAGAGAAGAGCAGAAACACAGAAGAGTTTGCAACAGGAAATAATTGTAAGAATATAATATATGAAAAAAGCTCTTTAATAAAATAAAAATACTAATATTCATTTAAATAAAAGAAAGAGGAAAGAAAGAGAGCTATTAGTATACCTGGAATTCAGAACTCAATTTTCAGTTCAATCCAAAGAGTAGTCCTATTTTCCCATTTCTCTCTCTATCTGGATGATAAGTTTCAGATTCCAAAGTTTCAGATCTTTCGATTCAAAGAAGGTATATATAATACTTAATTTTACTGGACCACTTTCTGAATTACAGAACATTATTTGTGATCAAGGATTTGTGTCTTTTCTGGAAGCAGAGAAAGTACCCTTTAACTGCATAGTGTGTGTGTGTGTGCTTATAAACAGGGCTGAAAAATGCCCAGGCTCCTCCTAAATCAAAGACGGAGCTGAGGAAATTGTATTACACCTTGGATCTTGATTCTAATTCTCTGAGGGACCCACAATTACAATCATCATTTCTACTCTTTCTAGAGAAAGTTCATTCCCCTAATATAATTAAGAAGAGAGACTTTTGCCTCCTCAATTATGTGCAGGGAAATCTGAGTTTGTAGTTTTCAATCTCTTGCTTTCTGCATTTAAATAATTGCCCACAGGTCTGGCTTTTGACTTTTTAAATTATGTGTCTGAAAGTTGTAGTGTTGTAGCAAGTCACCAGAAACTTCACAGATGGTATTTTTAAAATTGTATTTCTAACCAAGCAGTGGTTGCACAAGCCCTTAGTGCCAGCCCTTAAGAGGCAGAGGTAAACCCATCTCTGTGAGATTGAGGCCAGTATGGTCAAAAGAACTAGTTCAAGAACAGGCACCAAAGCTACAGAAAACCCTGACTTAAAAAGGAAAAAAAAAATTGAATTTCTAAAACAGAATGATTATAAGAGACATGCTAATATGGAAGGAAAAAATATGAAGGGTCCTCAAATGCTCATAAAAATCTGAAGACAAATGAAGAATCCTGGGAGATCTACAAACAGACAGATAGTCTCTTTTCACAGAATAAATCTACTGCAATTAGCCTCCCAATATCAAGTGATCAACTTTAAACACGTACACAGAAGTAACATTATATGGATGAAGAGGTTGTATTCACATATGTAGGAATATGTTTATATATATATATATATATATATATATGTATATTTAAATGAAAAAAGACCCACAAGGGTGGAGAGTTAAAAAAAAGGGATCTGAGAAGGTATGGAAGAAATATGGCATATGAGTCTCATATTTCATATGAAGCCAAACTTAAATCACATTTACTCTTTACAATGAATATATACTATGTAAATTTTGAAAATTAATAATCTTAGCATCAAGTTATTCATTGAATAGCATTATGTGTAATATTCATATGGAAAACTATTAGGTGCTTTTAACAAATGTAAAATAATTAAGTATTCAAAAATAAATCTTTCAATATTTGAAACAGTAGAGAATTACAAAATGTTTGTGTATTCTACGAAGAATACAAGCATTATACACTTGAAAATACATGCAAACAGATTATATTAAAAATTTACAGAGCTCACAATATGCAATGAAAGAATATTAATTAGGATATACAAACAAGGTTTTGTATATTCTAAGCTGAAAGACACTTTCCATTGTTTCTGTAGAATCAATAAAACTGTGAAACTTAAAATTGTTTTAACATTATGCAAAATGATGAAACAGATTGACAGATGGCTTTTCTTTTATGAATTATTCCATACTTCGTCAGGATTCTCTCATGTTCTCATTTATTTTATTGATTTTTATGAAGCTCTACATCTTTCTCTGCTCCCCTTCCTGCCTCTCCCTGCTCCTTCAACCTTCTCCCAAGGTCCCCATGCTCCAAATTTACTCAGGAGAGCTTGCCTTTTTCTACTACTCATGTAGATTAGTACTATGGATGTCTCTCTTCGAGTCTTCATTATTGTCTAGGTTCTCTGGGCTGATTTTCTTTGCTTTATGTTTAAAAACCACTTATGAGTGAGTACAGGTGATAATTGTCTTTTTGGGTCTGGGTTACCTTACTCAAAATGATGTTTTCTAGCTCTTTCCTTTGCCTGCAAAATTCAAGATGTCATTTTTTTTTTCTGCTGTACTCCATTGTATAAATATACCACATTTTCCTTATCCATTCTTCGGTAGAGGGGCATATAATATACGTTGTTTCCAGGTTCTGGCTATGACAATCAATGCTGCTATGGGCATGGTTGAACACATGTCATTGTGGCACAATTGAGCATCCTTTGAATATATACCCCAAAGTGGTATTATTGGGTTTGGCGGAATGTTGTTTCCTAATTTTCTAAGAAATCACCACACTGATATCCAGAGGGGCTTTAATAGCTTCATCCCCACTTCCCTTTACCCTACAGCCTCTCCAGCATAAGTTGTCATCAGTATTTTTGATCTTGGCCATTCTTACAGGTGTAAGATGGAATCTCAGAATTGTTTTGATTTGCATTTCTCTGATGACTAGGAATGTTGAACATTTCCTTGAGTATCTTTCAGTCATTTTAGATTCCTCTGTTGAGAATTCTCTGTTTAGGTCTGTACTCAATTTTTTTATTGGATTATTTGTTCTTTTGATGACCAATTTCTGGAGTTGTTTTTATATTTTGGAGATTAGACCTCTGTCTGATGTGAGGTTAGTGAAGATCTTTTCCCATTCTGTAGTTTGTTGGTTCATTTTTCTTTTTAACTAATTCTTACTCGGTGGTTATTGACTGGATCGTTTGGCTGCATTTCACCTAATTGAGACAGGAATAAAGATGCGAGGATACACTGCAATCCATTCATTCAAAGAGTATCTAAATGTGACCCCATAGGCATACACATTTGGATGGAGAATTTTTAATAAAGATGTAACCATTTGTAGATTATTTAGATATTCCCAGAAAATTCTGTTACTGCTCTAGCAGTTCTATCTTCAAAAATTGTCCCTTCTTGTCCAACTGTAACTGCTCCCTAGAGAATGCCACAGTTTTCAGATGGGGCACACTAAACCCAAAAGTTATGTCCTCTTGTTCTCACTTACATTCCTACACAAGTCTCTACGAGGATTTCAAGCTTTATGGTTATTCCTTGTAAATAATTAATAATTTCGACTTAAATTAATTTATTCCATTTGAAATGTATGAGCTCCATTTTAAAACTTATAAATTGCAGTAGCTATGAAATGTTCCTTATTTGTTTTAATGATTAAAAGAAAATTAAGTTGATCAAATCAGACTATCATCATCTTAAACTTGAAATCATAGAGCCTTGAAGAATTTGGCCTAACTGATACTACTAGACATTTAATTTATTGTTGGTAGACAGAAAGATGGATCAATAACTACCTTTAGAAACAGACAGACAAGTAGAGAAGAACCTGCATTTTTTTTCAGTTTATGAACATCTAGTAGTCATCAAGGTCAACACTTACTTTCTCCATGGTTTCAGTGTACATATCCTTTACTGTATAACTAAGCCACTATCCACACATTTTGATAAGTGCCAATATTGTTGAGTTTCCCATTCTATGTAAGATAGGTCAAGTTTGGTGAACTTCTCAAAGAGCTTAGTCAGCACCTCCCACCATTCTCAATGTGGGCTGTGTATTACCTATTTAAAAAAAAAAAGTTTGTAAGGTCTTTTGTTTTCATTATCTTCTACATCAAATTAAAGTGAGAATGTGATATTGGAGCATTGTTTTCTTTGTTTCCCTTTAATAAATATACTGACGTGTTCTCTGTACAAATTACAGATGCCCATTCACTTTAAAAAGTTTCGAAAGACTCTGTTTTCATTAGCACTTTATTTACATAGACAAATGTTTCAAAAATGGAATCTCTAGTTGAATGATGTTACAACACAACTTTACCATTTCCATAATTTCTCATCCTATTTAGCAATGTACTATATAATAATATTGTTAATAAAATCTTTGACTGACTGTTCTCTCTCATTTTCATTAAGAACATGCAGCTAGCATGTCAGTGGTGGTACACACCTTTTATCCTTGTACCTGGGAGCCAGAGACAGGTGGATCTCTATGAGTTTGAGGCAAGCCTGGTCTTTCCATGACAGGCTGCAAAAACACAGAAACCCTGTCTTGATAAACCAAATATATATATATATATATATATATATATATATATATATACAAAAAAGAGCATGCATCTAATTTTTTTATCCAATAATGGAAAACAGTTATTCGAGTGAATAAGTTTGCATTTTTCTCTTATACATAGATTTCTTTTTTGCCCTAATAACTTGCCTTTGAAATTATAACTTAGATCATCTAGTCTCTTGCGTACATTCTAGAGAACAATTATCTATTTTATTTGTATGTGACAGAAATATCAGGCT